GGTGGGCCCCGAGGTGCTGCGGGTTCTGCATGTTTGCCGACGGCGCGGCGGGGAACGACGCGTATCCCGCGGCACCTCGGCTGCTTCGCGGCCCTCTCAGCGCCGGCTCTGCCCCAGGGGCTGGGGCTGGTGCTCCCCGAGCCCTCCTGCCCGCTCGCTCCGGCGCTTGGCCCAGGGCTGCTGCAAATCCCAAAGCGACCTGCGCCCTAACCCCCCATGTAACCCCGGCCCCTTCCTAGCCCAGCTCCAGGCACCCGGGGGTAAATAAACCCTCCTGAAGGAATATTAAGCGGAAGGCGAAATCTATAATTTGCATCTGGTGAAATCTCTGAATTACTGGTAAAGGTACCATCAAAATACTCTGAGGTTGTGGTCTGTGCAAAATCCTAAAGCTGGTTCTCCCTGTCTTGTAGCTTTTGCAAGGCTTGTTTGGATGCCTGGGGAGTTTTTATCCACTTGAAACGCAGTAGTATTTTGAATACCTGGAAGGGCCGAAGCAGGAGCGTGTTCTGACTTCAGGCAAGTGAGGGGTAGCTTGGAGCCCACCCTCAGCCTGGGTAGGATATGCTACAAGTGCTGAAGAAAAGATGTGCAGACTCCAGTTGTTGTTTTCCCTAGGAATGTGTAATTCTTCTAAGTAAAATGCAATTTTTATGATGTTTTGAATACTCCTTTTAGAGTGCTTAAATTTGCTGCTGCTGAGTTGTAATTTTGTGTTAAATTTAAGATACTGCAAAGACTGGTTTACCGTTCTGAGTCATGTCACGTGGGTTTATTTTGCAAACAGGCAGCACTTCAGGTATGCAGGAAAGGCGATGATTTAGCTGCAGTAATGCCCCATGTTTTCCTCCTCCTTTAAGAGCGGGTTTACGTGCAGTCGCTGGCATCCCTGGAATGTCGAGGAGAGCAGCTGAGCCCCTGGCACAGACTTCCCAGGCAGCCAAAACAGAGCTGGTTGCGAGTCCTCCCATGTCCCAGGTTCTCAAGGAAACTCCAGCTCTCCCCTACATTCCTTGTAATCTCCAGCTTTCCTATGGCAATACAAAAAAAAAAAATACTGCAAACTAATAATTTAATTAAAATCACTAGCAGCAAAACAAGCTGAATTTCTCAGATGATTCAGTCTGAATAGGGCCGGTTGCCCTGAGCAGTACAGGGACAGCTGCTGGCACCAGGGCCTGGGAGCAGGAACTGCATGGAATAAACTGGCATCGTTTGCACTCGGATTTGCTCCAAAGAGCGAAGCGTCACGGCCTGCGAGACGCCGTTCCTCTGCTTGAAATAGAAGTACGAGAGAGGGTTGTTTTGCACCATGCACCTGATGTTTCAGATACATAAAACATTATGTATATATATAATGTTCATATCCTGTGTTTTGATCTCTGTGGCAGACCAAAGTTTTCAGGTGTACATTCTCCAATTTTTTTTATATTTTGTGAGAGGAGATATATATTTATATGTATATATTTTTTCTACAGTAGCAAACCTGATGGCCCATGTTGGTCTCTGACCCTTCTCTGTGGTGCTTGGGGCCTCCCAGGAGACCATGCACAAACTCTTGTTATTCCTTCATTGCCCTGTGTCATCTCTGTGTGTTTCAGTAGCACTTGGCAAAGAAGAGACACTGGAAGAAAGGAACCAGATTTTGTGCTGTGTTATTTAGGGGAAAGCTATCAACTTCTTGTGGCATGCCTCTCATCTTGTTAGGGCCTGGTATGGTGATGTTAAACCTCCCAAATATTTGAATTTTGCTGAAAACTCGGTGTAAAATGCACGCCACCTCTCCATATAATGATGGAGGTATTATAAGAATACTATTTGATAATAATTTATAAATAAATTAATAAAATACTATTTCATAATAATAAAAACACTATTTTCATACACTAGAGACAGCCTTGAACCAGGCAATTCGTGAACTGTGAATCGGAAAAGCTAAGTTACCGTTAGCACAGCAAGTCAATATAGTTTTGCTAAACTTTCTCAAACAAATTAGCAATCAAGGGAAGTTAAGCAACAAGGCGGCAGGGACAGGCAGTGGCTTTTGGACGTGTGTTTTGTCACGTGTGCTGTACCCTCTTGCAGGAGGCTGAACGAGAGGATCGGAGCTGCTCGGAGGAGACGCGATGAGGATCCGTTTGCTGCTGCTGGTTGCGGGGCTCTGCGGGGCCCAGCACAGCCCCAACACCGGGCCCGGCCGGACCTCCCTCGTGCACCTCTTCGAGTGGCGCTGGGCCGACGTCGCGCGCGAGTGCGAGCGCTACCTGGCTCCTCACGGCTTCGGCGGCGTTCAGGCACGTGGCTCCCCAGCAACAGCGAGTAAAGTTGCCCCAGGGACGGTCGCTGGTTTTTCAGAGCAGTATGTTCAAGTTAACGAAGGCCAGGTTTGGGGAAAGAAAAGCAGAAACTGGTAAATGGAATAGTTAATACTGACCAACGCATTCCTCAGCAGTCATGGCGTAAGGGAGGATTTATTTCATCACTCCAAAGGGCATATGTTTTGCTCTTCTTACTGTCTCGTTTGGATGAATTAGAATTTCAGATTACCAGCTAAATCCGTATTTACTGCTGTGCAGAATAAAACAGGGATCTCACTCCATCTCACGTATCTCTGTTTATCTGCTTGGTACTATTTAAATCAAGGAAGCCGTTTAAGAACCAGGCAAACACAAAATGAAACTGCGACAGAGGAAAAATCTCCCAAGAGAATACCAGGGTATTGAAGGTTAAAAAAACAACCCAAACGGTTTATAGCTGGTTCCTTCTTCACTTTGAGCTCTCCCTGCTGACCTTGCTGTTCAGATTCCAGGCTCCTCTTTTGAGATATGAGGTCTATGACCCCAGAGATGACTGGGGTCCTGTGTCCACGGTTTGTTTTTGCTGGACCCAAGAGTTTTGGCTCCCGTTGACTGTGGTGGGAGCAGAGGGTATGGAGCATCTCTGTGGACTAGATATCTTCTAGGATCTTCTATAGCTGATTTTCTGTTTTTATGTTCTTCCTGGGCAAACATTAAATAAACCCCAATCAGTAACCTGTTACCAAGAGACACCCTTTTATTCACAGATTTCTCCTCCAAATGAAAATATTATCGTTACCAATCCCTGGCAGCCTTGGTGGGAAAGATACCAGCCCATCAGCTACAAGCTCTGCTCCCGCTCTGGAAATGAAACCGAGTTCAGAGACATGGTGACCAGGTGTAACAATGTTGGAGTAAGTGCTTGGAAAGCTCTGCGTGAGTAGTGCAAGGATGTAGAGGCCGGGAAGCGACAATTCTAATAAAAGTGGAGTATCTTAAAGGCAGAGCAGATTGTGGGGAGCAAGCGAGCAGAAGTAGGTGGGTAGGACAGGGGATGAGAGCAAGACTACGTTATTTAGTCAGTGGGAAGCAGCTTCCCCAAGCTGAAATGTGAATTTATTCTCTAGGTACATATTTACGTGGATGCAGTTATGAACCATATGTGTGGAGCTAATGCTGGGGCAGGAACCCATGCGACTTGTGGAAGTTATTTCAATGCAGAGACCGAGGATTTTCCAGCTGTATCGTACTCTAGCCTGGACTTCAATGATCGTAAATGTAAATCTCGAAGTGGAGACATTGAAAATTATCAAGACATATATCAGGTAAATCTAGAGCTGTAGATGTGTTTTTTCATGTGTGGCTGCTATTTCTTTGCTCCTGTACACTGTCAAAACAAAAAGATGAAGCATATTATGGAAAAACAATGTAATTAAAAACAGACGTCCATCAGCATAACATTACTAACATAAGCTCCATTTCTATGAGAATAGCTCTACCTTTTTAGATACAGTCAATGTGCTTAGGTAATTTACAAAGACAGTTAAAAAATTCTTAAGTATTATTTAGGGATTATTCTGTGCTTTAAAAAAAAGATTAAAATTACTATTAATTGGTTTATTTATGATGTGGATTATTTCTTTGGTCTCAAATTCAGGAGAGATCAGGATTTCATAAAGAGAAATAAGGCTGACATCTGTCAGGCTAACTTCTTTTTTATACATTCCCCTTCTTATGAAAGATGTTGTGGTTTGCAAATAAGAAGGTTCCTATATATCATATTATAAATCCAGGATTTTTCTTAAACCATGTCTTGTGCCCTTCAAGTGCATTTAAACTTTTTTTTTTTTTTTCAAGTAGAGGTTTAGAAGAGGAGTATTTGAGGGGACTTTAAATGTCTGAGGAATCTTGGGTAGTTCTTCAGGAGCATCGGAAATGCTAAAGTATCTCAGACACATATGTGTTGCAATATATTATTTTGAAACAAACACAAAGAAGGTTCAGGAAAAAGGGTCTTAACATTTAGTAAAGCTTTAGAAAGCAGTACTTTTTTAAAATTTTGAAATATGACTTCTAGAAGTCCTTTCTTAAAGAAAAAATGGATGCAATTGAAAAGAATAAGGAATCTTAATACGCTGGAATAAAAATAGTATATCATTCATGCCCCATATTTGCATTAGAAAGCTGACAGTAGATTAATGTTTTATTCCTCTCTTGTTGTCTAGCTGTGGAGGCTGGGCGAATGCAGACTGCTCAATGCCTGTTTTATGTAGATGTAAATGACCATCCAAGGCACAGAACATGCACGATAGATAACAACTAGTGATGGATTTATTTTGGCATTGTATTATAAACAATAAAATTGTATATTATATATATATATATTTAGGTCACTGTATTTTGTTTGCTGGGTGAAATATATTTCATGCAAAATACGTGTTCCAGGTCCGTAACTGCCGCTTGGTCAGCCTCTTGGACCTGGCCCTGGACAGGGACTACGTGCGCTCCAAAATCGCGGAGTACCTGAACCGCCTCATCGACATCGGTGTGGCCGGCTTCCGCATCGACGCGGCCAAGCATATGTGGCCTGAGGATGTGAAGGCAACGTTGGACAAGCTGCACAACCTAAACACTACCTGGTTTTCTCCAGGGTCTAAACCTTTCATTTACCAGGAGGTAATTCACTTTGTAACCTCGCTTTACAGGGACCTTTCTGCGGACACACTGTGGATTCGCTCCTGCCCTTGAAGTTGTGCTTTGCTTGAACCCAGCACCTATCAATAGATCTGAAGAGCTATTGAAACAGATGTTAAGACTTAATAACCACATTTTCAGTTCAGTTCTCTAATCTAGCTGGCATGTGCAATGGCTGTTTGGGACCTTCTGAGCTGGAAATTTCAATTGAGATGAAATCTACTGCACTTAAGTTAGTGTCAAAACTTGACTGAATTCAGAAAGAGATCATTTCACTCTGTGTTCCAGATTCTTAAATTGCAACAGAAAATGGCATAATCAGTGTTTCCTGAAATTTAAATTTGTTTTCCTTCTCAATAACAAATTGCAGCAAGAGCCAAGAAACAAGTAACTGTTGATTTCAATCAGCTAAATTCACTAGATATATTCTATTACATCAGTATGTTAGGTATTAAGTCCAAGGTACAAATAGCTTAGCATATGTTAGCTATCTGATGAAAATAAGAAATGGAGTGGCCCACATAGAAGCAATAGCTTTGGGATCTACACTAAAGATAAAGTTGTTATGGCCCAAGCCTTAATTATGGTGTAGCGATTGGTGAGGGTAACAAGGCAGATGGTGGAAATGAAAATGAAGTGACCACATCTGGGATAAAAAAATAATAATAAAATATCTTTAAATGCAACTTTGAAAGTGGAATAATATAGTTAGCTCAATTTATTATTCTTTCCTACAACAAGTTACAGGCAGTTCATTTTACATCTTTATTAGCAGAAAGAAAAGCTGTCTCTTTCCCATGACAGGTTATTGACTTGGGTGGAGAGCCGGTCACAGGCAGCCAGTACTTTGGAAATGGCCGAGTGACGGAGTTCAAGTACGGCGCAAAGCTGGGGACCGTGCTCCGCAAGTGGGATGGCAAGAAGATGTCCTACTTAAAGTAAGGGTGACTGTCCCGGGGCTTCTTTCCCTTGCATGGTGGTGATGGGCCTATGCTTGGACTTGATGATCTTGCCAATCTTTTCCAACCCTAATGATTCTATTTTTCCTATATATAGAGTATAGCTGAAGGCACAGTTGAATGGGGTGGCCTCAAGCCCTTCTCTTTTTGCCTAGGAACTGGGGAGAGGACTGGGGCCTTGTGCCTTCTGACAGAGCCCTGGTCTTCGTGGATAACCACGACAACCAGCGTGGGCACGGGGCTGGTGGAGCTTCCATTCTCACCTTCTGGGATGCCAGGTAGGAGATGCCGTTGTGCAGGTGATGCTGCTTTGGTGGGTTTTTGTCCCTGTGCTGATGGCCCTTTCCATGTCTCATGTCTTTTGGTCTTACAGGCTTTACAAAATGGCTGTTGGTTTCATGCTGGCTCATCCTTATGGATTCACGCGGGTGATGTCAAGCTTCCGTTGGCCAAGACATTTTCAAAACGGAACGGTGAGTTTGTAACAGTTGGCAATGAAAGAATAAATAAGCAAAATACTTATGATTTGTACATTGAATTTTTCTTTTATTTTTCATCAAGGATATTAATGATTGGGTGGGTCCACCTAGCTACCCAGATGGATCGATCAAAAATGTTACCATCAATTCAGACAACACTTGTGGGAATGGTTGGGTCTGTGAACATCGCTGGCATCAAATCCGGTAAAGCAATATCAGCTGCTACTTTCATGCATATTTTTCACAGAAGTGGAGATGTTTCAATAATAGGGAGTGAGCTCCATTGTGTCTTTTTTCAGGAACATGGTTATCTTCCGTAACGTGGTGGATGGCGAGCCTTTCTCCAACTGGTGGGACAACAAGAGCAATCAAATTGCTTTTGGACGTGGTAATAAAGGATTCATTGTCTTTAATAACGATGACTGGTAAGTAGAAGAGGAATAGAATTGGTATCCTTCTACCCAACAGAGAAACCTTTAGAACTTCTTGAGAGATCCCCCAGTGCTTTGTAACAGTTCTGTCTTGCTTACCGACAGTTTAAACTGCTTATTTTCTTCTCTACCGGCAGCACTCTTCACAGTCCTAGGCAAAAACAATAACTGTAACAGAGTATTTTTCTATGCGATTAAAACTAACCTTATTTAAGTGGCTTAGTTTAGAACAACTCAAATTAAGAAGTATTTTAACGTGTATATATTGATCAAACTACATAGTACAACTCCATAAGCTTTTGAAGGACAGTTTTTGTAGATGGTGGCTAGATTTTTATTCATGCCTGTTCAAATGTATTTGTGTGAGGCAGTGCTAAATAGGCCTTAGCATGAACCGTTAGTAATTTTCTAGGCTCAAAATAGCCCCCAATGACTAGTCCTAGGTAGTATTGTGTTGTGGAGAGCAGATTCTGAAGCGTCCAAAGAAATGGAGAACTTTGGAGAAATTCCCTAATATTGGGGGGGGAGAGGGGAGGGGGGAGAAAAGCTTGTGAAAATCTAAATAATTCTTATTGTATTCCAATGTTTTCCAAGGTACTTGAACGTGACTCTGCAGACCGGCCTGCCTGCTGGCACGTACTGTGATGTCGTTTCTGGGCAAAAGCAAGGCGACTCCTGCACAGCAACTGCAGTACATGTTGCCGCAGATGGCACGGCTCTGTTCCTGATTAGCAGTGATAGAGAAGACCCATTCATTGCAATTCATGTTGATGCTAAACTGTAAAAAACAACAACAAAACTTGTGCATCTGTTGTTGGTATAAGCATACAGGATGGTTTGCTTCTCCGGGCTGCTCAGCAGTGAATGAACAGTGCTAGAGCACAAGTGTTTTAGCTTGTATTAATGAAATGTGGAGTAGCTGCTATACTGGGACATGAGCTGCTGGTGCTCGTGCACATTCACCAGAGGCGATATGTTTGCCTTTGAAATTTCTGTATGTTCGTTTCAAGCAGTAATAAATAATGTGAGGTAGAAACTGAAATGGTTTCATTTCAAATTGTTTTTTGTGCAAGTGAAGCTTATTTCTCTTCATTGGTACGCTGGATTGGCAAGTAACTGCATCTCCAAAATCCTGAAAACATGCCTTTGGGCTGAAACATGGAGCAATTAGCTAAATTGAAATTCAAGTGAAACATGTTTCTTATCTTGTATATGTAGGCAATATCTCCTGCTATGCAATTTCCTTGTAGAATCCATAAGGTTGGACAGGACCTCCAGGGATCATCTAGTCCAACCCCTGCACACGCAGGGTCACCCAGAGCATGTGGCACAGGGCTGCGTCCAGGCGGCCCTTATATTCAAGAACGAGTGATTCTCTGGATCTAGCAAATAATAAATGTGCTTCAAATGAAAGAGTAATGCCTCTCTTAAAGGATCGGAGCTGCGACAAACACCAGTAAGGTCCCTGCTGTAGTGTAGGTGTGAATGGAAAACTGTAGGTGAAATAGAAATTAAAAATTGTCAAAATGTTCTTTGTGTCAGCAATGATAGTTCAAGTTAGCTCCCTCCAGGCGTCTTGAAGGGCCTACCCATGTCTGTCATGTTCTACTTAGCCTATGTGCGAATGTTTGGAGTGTTTCCACAACATGGCCATCACAAGGACATTTGTGACACCTCACTACGATACCTACTATTTGTGTAGCCAACTAAATAGCAGTGCGGGAGACGCTTGTGTTGAGGTTGGTCTTGTGGGGTAGAGAACAGCATGGGTGACACTCCCAGCTGCCCTGACCCCCTGGATGCCATCACAAGCAGTCTATATTCCCATGCCTTGTACCCCAAAAGGAGGATGTCAGGATTTTGAGATGAGGATGGGGAGAAACCCGCCCTCCTCTCGCTGCTGGGGCAGCGCAAGACGTTATGGTCTGGAAGGACCTTCTCCTCAACAGGACCTTGAAAGACAACACCTGCGTTGGCTGCGGGGGCAGCGCTAGGCACTGCAGGCAGGAGTTAACTCCTTCCTACTCCAGCTATGGGGCCTCTCCTGAAGCACTGCGGCAGGAGCAAGCACTTGTTCGTGGTTGTTCCAGCTGCTTTCTTCAGCACCGAGGAGCACTCAAGGCAGCTGGCCTGCCGCTGGGGATGCCATCTCCACAGCAAGGCTGGAGCAGCGCTGAACCCCAAGGACCGCAGCTGCGTGGAGAGAGCTGCGGCCGGCCTCGCGACTCCACCTCCACCTTCCCATTATAAATAGGTTGGTGTGGAGGCCGTGCCGGGCTCTTCACAGGTGACAACAGGTCTGCCAACTTGCGGAGCCCCTGGGGACACCCTCGTGCGGTCACTTCCCAGGGCTGAGGGTACGCTGGCCGCTGAGGCAACACGTGAGTAACACCAGTGAGAGTGAGTTTATCTTGTTCATTCATTCGGGCGGTTATTGTTAGTATAAACTAGCTGGCTTTGTTTAGTGGGTAGTTGCCATTGGCCAAACTTTTAGTGTAATTGAAAAGTATCCTAGTTGAGTATTGTAGTTCCTGTCGGTAAGAATTGCTGCTTTATACCTGTAACGTGTGTAGTAAAGTGTGGTGGTCTTTGGGACGTGTTCTGGAGCAATGCAATAAGTCTCCTTCCCCCTCCTGCCATCCCATGGGAAACTCACACCATCTGGGGCTGTGCAGTGGTCAGTTGGCACTATTTGGGCCTTGGGATTGACACCACTGGATCTTGGCACGCGTTGGCATGCGGCACTCTATTGGGAAGGTGCTACCACTGCACCATGAGGTTGCTGGTATGTTCACTGGGCTCAGGCCCCTCGGGAAAGCACAGGAGTTAGGCCTGCTTTTTTTGTCTGCCCTTTAAAGGCTTGGGCAAGCGGGACCTAATTCTGCTTCCCTCCTAGGAAAGAGGAGGAGGTGCAGGATGTGCACTGGGTGATGGGGCTAGGTTCAGGGAGAGCACAAGACAGGAGCTCCCACGGGTGCTGAGGTTCCTCCGCTCCTGGTGCAGCAGTGCTGTAGCCTTTCCTACTTCTCACGGATACTCACCAACGTCACTGATTTTCTGGTGAAGTTCTTTCAGAAATAGTTTTATCAGCACCATGACTCTAGCTTATTCATAAAGTGTTGCTAATAAATCAAGAGACTTTATATGTCACTACTGAGTGAAGAACTGAAATCCTGCTACAAGTCAAGGCTGGGAGCTTTTAGAAATAGGAAGTTGAAAGAGGCTCCTTCAGCTCCAGGGCTTAAGGCATCTGCTCTGTTTGGGTTCCCAATGTAAGTCTGTGTTAAGCCTCAAGACCCTTCTGCCACATCTCCTTCTGGCTTCTCTTCTTTGCAGCTGCTGAGCTAGTGGTCACCCAAGGACAGAGAGGAAACCTGCAGTGAACCTCTGTTGGATAGGAAAATACGGGAAGTTTAGATCACTTGACCACGTAGTAACAGCAGAGTTGCTCCACACAACTGTACAGTGAAAATCTGTCACTGTTTCAGCAAATGTTGGGGAACAACTCTAGCAATATAAGTGTGCAGGGAAACAGGCTCTAGTTTCTAGTGGGTGCAAGCTGTGCTTACCCCAATACAGCAGCAGCAAGGTGGAGATGAGCGGCGGTACACGCGGCGCTCCCATCCCGGTCTCCGCATGGTGCTGGGTGTCTCGGCCGCCAGGGTGGAGAACACGGGGTGCAACCACCTCGAGCCCATCGCTCTCTTCAAAGTCTTCTGGTTTTTTTTAAAGTCGTTCAGCTTTTATAGCCTATGCTGGGCTGACGTGGGTACACACCCCCGGCCCGCCCTGCTGCTTGGGCTATCGCAGCGAGGCAGTCACGCGTCCCGTGATTAGCTCAGGGAAAATCATGAACGTGGCCAGTTGATCTGCTCAGCTGACACCCAATCAGCTGATCCACGCATCCAATATCGCCGGTTATCTTAAATGAAGGTCACCTTCTGGTCCCCCTCGTGCTGGGACCAAATCAGTTCTTTTTGCAACACCTGTGGCCAGTCACACTCCACTGTCTTCCCAGTGCTCCATGGGCACCATGTCCATCTCCTCCAAGCCTTCTTCCACTGTCAGGGTTGTGAGTTGGCCACACTGTCCCTGTGATTCCCTGTGTCTGAAGGCACCCGTCATGTCATGCGATTCATCTGCTACTGACTGGCAGTGGCCGATCAGGTCCCTGGGTTTGTGCTAGGGTGAAGCCCAGGAGCTTGATGCTTCTGAATGGTGGTGAATTAATTCCCATAGGGCTACCAAACTTCTGGTTGTCTTTTCATGTTGTCTTCCAGCCCACCCCCCACCGGAGAACCCACATGTCACATTTTTAATAAGCTTTTCAGAAACGCTGCTGTTAATAAGACTTGAAAGAGCGCCGCTTTGAACGCCGGCCCGTGGGCTGCTTGGCTGGAGATAACGTATATCGTTGTGAAAAAACAGTTTATCTTCAGGTGTTAGGAAAATCAGGAAAGATCAAAAAATGTGGAAGGGTACTCAGCTATGTAACCAAATAATAACTGACAGCGTTTATCTGTGTGAAATCTGCCAGCTGCAGTGGGAACTGGGTCATCGTGCAGAAGTATAAGTAGGCGGCGAGAAGACGGCGAGCTCAGACAGCCGGCACCATGCGAGTCCTGCTCCTGCTTGCAGCCGTCGGGCTCTGCGGGGCCCAGTACAGCCCCAACACTGCGTACGGCAGGACCGCCATCGTGCACCTCTTCGAGTGGCGCTGGGCCGACATCGCTCTCGAGTGCGAGCGCTACTTGGCTCCTTACGGCTTTGGAGGAGTTCAGGTATGTTGTTTCCTAGCAGTAGGGAGTAAAATTGCTTTGTTGCGTTTGACTGATAAATCCAGATGTGCGAATCAGAGGGAGCAGAGTCCCAGCAGCTGTTATGTTGAAGAGGGGCTGAAAGTAGCACAAGCTCTTAGAGGCAAACCTAGCTCCTGCAAGGCTCATTATGGTGCATCTCGAGCAGATCAGTTACGGATTTCCTCCCAAATCTGTTGCTTACAAAGCTAGGATTTCCTCTTTATATTCTTTTCCAATGGGAGTTTTGGCATTTCGAATGTTGTCACTGCTCCAGATAAAATCCTGTCTGCAGCTTCACCCTGCAATGCATGTGCCCTATAAAAGCAAACCTGTGCTGGGCTCGGGTAACCCATGGGAACTGAAGGAAACTTCTTGATCCAAGTGTGCAGGACTGGCACCTTGCAGACCAGAGCTTATGTGGGGGGAGAGGGAGCTGGGATTGGATTGCAACCTGCTTCTCTTGGAAATCCAGAATAAGCCTTGACATATTTTGTGCTTCAGACCTAGAGCAAGAAAGAATCAGTATTTTATGAAGGTGCATGTTTTCTGTTGCAGGTTTCACCTCCAAATGAAAATGTGGTTGTAACTAGCCCCTATAGACCCTGGTGGGAAAGATACCAGCCCATCAGCTACAACATCTGCACTCGCTCAGGAAATGAAGATGAGTTTAGAGAAATGGTGTCCAGATGCAACAATGTTGGAGTAAGTGCCTGGAGGACATGTAAATAATATGGGAGGAAGCGCTGTTTGGGCTGAGGGAAGTTACTGTTCCCATTGCCAAAAGAGGCGGGGAATTAAGAAAAGGGGGATGGGGGGGGAAAGAGGAAGAGCTAGAGGTAACGCTCTGCCTGTTGCTTTATCACTCTTAAAAACCATTCTGAAATACAGTGACTGCTTTTCTAGGTTCGTATCTATGTGGATGCTGTTGTCAATCACATGTGCGGATCTGGAGCTGGATACGGCACCCATTCAACCTGTGGAAGCTATTTTGATGCCGGGACCAGAGATTTTCCATCTGTGCCATACTCTGGCTGGGATTTCAACGATGGCAAATGTAGTACTTATAGCGGAGAAATCGAAAATTACCAGGATATTTATCAGGTAACTTTCTATGCTGGAAGTTTGACATCTGGTTTCTTGACCCCTTTTCATTGTTCCATTTGCTCTCTCCTGTTGTGTCAACATTACAGTGCAGCAAACACAAGGGCAGAGGTTATCGTTGCTTACTGGAATAATTAATGCTAGCACGTGTTTAGGCAAGGTAGTGCAGGCAGGTAGTATCATCAGAAGTGAGAAGTCAAGAAGCCTTCTCACCCGTTTCATGTGGGCATGTGCTCGCGTAGGCTCCTGAGCTGAGTCCAAGTCCAGAGAGCAGGTAGGACTTGTAAGCGTAGCTGACATTGATAAGGAGCCCCGTGGAAAACTGGCAGCAGTGCAAAGTGCCACCCTGCCTGAGGGGGCTGCTCCTTTCTGTGTAGTAAATTAGCATTTGCTTTTTCTTGGTTTAGAGCTCTTACTGCATCCATTTTGCCACCCGACATCATGCTGTTTCTCATCATAATTTCTGAGGACAGCTGTGCAGAGAGATGAGCGCCTCCAGCAACTGCCCAAACTTGCGAATCAGGATGTGCAATAACTTTTTTATTGTTTTGGTGCAGATTGTGGAAGAATTCTCTTCTCTGTGGTTGAGATGTACCAGCTGAGTGGGTTTAATCACTTGAAAAACCCTAAACCTTTTATTGCAAGGTCAATGTTTTGCAACCTCAAGGAATAACTAACACCTCCCAACTTTTTGGACAGGTTCGGGACTGCCGCTTGTCTGGCCTTCTGGATCTGGCCCTGGAGAAGGACTACGTGCGCTCCACAATTGCTGGGTACCTGAATCACCTCATAGATATTGGCGTAGCAGGCTTCCGGATCGACGCTGCCAAGCATATGTGGCCTGGGGACATGAAGGCATTTCTTGATCAGCTGAACGACCTAAACACACAATGGTTTTCTTCAGGAACTAGACCTTTCATTTACCAGGAGGTAACATCTCTCCCCTAGCCCTGCTCTACTGTTTCTCCTACCTTCTTGTCTTTCCATCTTTTCCTTCCTCGTGCAGGGCAATGCAAGTAATGATATGGGTTTGATCCGACAAACCAATGAAGACTGAGCCCTGAAGTCTAGTGGTATAAATTGAGTCTTGCACTCCAGAATTGCAAGTTGCCTTGAAATCATCATGGAGCAGCTCCCTGCAGATTTCTAACAGTCATATGATGAGGAGCACTATGTGGTGCACTATGTGATGGCTCTTCTCTGGAGCAAACCTTCAAAAATGATTAGTTTTGCCAACTGTGGTATTGCTCAGCTATAGACCATTGCCCAGCTTTTTTCCTGCCTTTATTCAGTCCCATTTTCACATGTCTACATCGTGTTTTATACCGAGTTCACAGTTGATTTACATAGCAGAAGCAAATGCTAGTTAAACTCATAGCAGATTACAAAAGCAATTGTCAATGTGTGGCAAGAACTAATGTTATAGCCCATACATTGTTTTATTTATTTACTTATTTTTATTTTGTTCGGTTAGGTTGACATAAATCCATCCTTTCTCTTTCCCACGCCAGGTTATTGACTTGGGTGGAGAGCCAATCACAGGCAGCCAGTACTTTGATAACGGCCGAGTGACGGAGTTCAAGTACGGCGCAAAGCTGGGGACCGTGCTCCGCAAGTGGGATGGCAAGAAGATGTCCTACTTAAAGTAAGGGTGACCGTCCCGGGGCTTCTGTGGTATAGTGTACCTGGATACATATACATATATATGTGTGCATCTCCAGTATAGCTGGACAGGGTGGCCTCAAGCCCTTCTCTTTTTGCCTAGGAACTGGGGAGAGGACTGGGGCCTTGTGCCTTCTGACAGAGCCCTGGTCTTCGTGGATAACCACGACAACCAGCGTGGGCACGGGGCTGGTGGAGCTTCCATTCTCACCTTCTGGGATGCCAGGTAGGAGATGCCGTTGTGCAGGTGATGCTGCTTTGGTGGGTTTTTGTCCCTGTGCTGATGGCCCTTTCCATGTCTCATGTCTTTTGGTCTTACAGGCTTTACAAAATGGCTGTTGGTTTCATGCTGGCTCATCCTTATGGATTCACGCGGGTGATGTCAAGCTTCCGTTGGCCAAGATATTATGAAAATGGAGAGGTAAATTTAAAGATGAAGATCACTTCTCTGTTCATAAGAATCCAACGAGAATCAGTGAACCAGTCAAGTCTGGTTAAGCTTGTAAATCTTAAATGTTTTCTGTCCCCTGTGCTGTTTCTACACTTCAGAAACAGGGTGTTTTCTTTAGCTTTCCCCTCCAGTTGGTATCTCTGCATTTGCAGTACTAATTGTAAAACTTGTCTTTTTAATGAAAGGATGTTAATGACTGGTATGGACCACCACACAATTCGGATGGATCAACAAAATCTGTTCCAATTAACGAAGATACTACCTGTGGTGATGATTGGGTTTGTGAACATCGCTGGCGTCAAATAAGGTAGGGTGCTGTGCGGAAACAGTCACTAAAAACAGTTAATTTTGCATGGTGTTCCTTGTTGCTCTAGAGCTTTTGCAGTTACAGCAACAGCCATTCTTTGCATCTCCAGGAACATGGTTGTCTTCCGTAACGTGGTGAGCACCGAGGATTTCACCAACTGGTGGGACAACGACAGCAACCAAGTGGCTTTTGGACGTGGTAGTAAGGGATTCATTGTCTTCAATAACGATGATTGGTAAGTTGTGGGGTTGAAGAGGCTGAGAGATGTGGGCACTGGAGAGAGGCACTGTGCCTGAAGTGCAGTTGGGAGCAAAGACGATGTGTTGGGAAGGGGGAAGAACCTATGTCTGTGGCTAGAGTAATGGCTATAGGTTGGAGTAGTAGCACCTGAGAGTGAGAAGGGAACTCTCTGAATGAGCAGGACAGTCACAGGTCTGATTGCTCACAGGGTGTGTGTGCCCTGCTGTGCAGCTTGGTGATTTTGTGCCAATCTCCTTTTCTCATGACTGTTGGTCTCCTGCCTGGGTTAGGTTCCTGTGCTTGCATTCCTGGTCTAGAGGGCCAAAAGGAGAGGATGGTGGGGGGAGATACAGGGATGAACTGAGAACCCTCTCCTAGCCAACTGTCCTTCAAAGTAATGAACTGGCATCAGGCTCGGAAGTGCTTGAGGCCAGTTGCTGTTTTGAGAATGCAGCATAAAGAACATTCTCTTGTTTTCACCTAGGGAATTGAATCAGTCTTTGGAAACTGGACTGCCTGCTGGTACCTACTGTGATGTTATTTCTGGAGATAAGGAAGATGGCAGATGTACTGGAATAGAGGTGTACGTTTCCAGTGATGGCAGGGCTAATTTCCAGATCAGTAACAATGCTGAAGACCCGTTCATTGCAATTCACGTTGAAGCAAAATTGTAATTCAAGCAAAGCATGTTTCTGCTCTTGGCTTTTACGTATGCAATATCTCCAGCTATGCAATTTCCTTATATTCAAGAATGAGCGCTTCCCTGCATCTAGCAAAAAATAAATTGACTTCAAATGAGCAAAAGAGTAATGCTTCTTCTCTTAATGGATTGGATTGCGTCTTTTTTGGGTCATACTTAGTGGCAGGACAATGGTAGGATTTAAGGATGTCCCGGCACTGTGACATTGTGCTTCCCAGGGGGAAAAAAAAAAAAGCCTGGATAAGTTAAAAGGGCTTATTTTCAAGGCTGACACATGCACACACATCACGTGCGGAGATGCCCTTCTGCACCATTTCCATGGTGTGTTACATCTGACAGTTCAGCAGCTCCCACGACTTTACTGATAATCCCCAGGTCCAGGTGACCGACCACCCCGGCCAGAGAGCAAAGGGCCTCCTCAGGAGAGAGCCCCTGGCATCACCCAGCCTGCAGAGGCAATGGGAACAGGCACTGCAAGAGTGACTGCTTTGGAGGGCAGTTTCCTTTTCCTGGAGGGAGGGAAGCTTTCTTTCTGGTCCTCAAATCATTCCCAGAATTATTAGCATTACAGAAAATTCATCATTGCTTTCACTACTCCATCTTATATAAAATAGGTGTCCGGAAGGGCCATGCCAGTGCTGAATGAAAATCTGAAACATTTGGGGGTCTTTTATCCCATTAAAGCACAGCATTTTCCAGGGCCAGGCAGGATGTCTCATTGAATTGATGAAACGTAGTATGAGTTTTAAGCCCACTCAGCAATAGTGCACTATCTGCTGCTAAAAAAGTGGTCCCTCTTTCTTCGTGAAAACTACGACTTTTACCATGTATCTACTGAATAAATACATTAGAGTGTATATTCTATTTTTTTTCAATATCAGTAGTCTCATGCCTTTCAAATAATAGAGCAAACCTAAGAAATTTTGAAGTTAAAAAAAGAAGAATTTTAATAAAAGACTTTGGTATTTTCCCTCCAGTTTTTGATTTTCCATTTAGATTTCTTGCTCTTATATTTTATTCTGTATTAATTTAGTATTGAATTAAATGATTTTAAAAGTCCTTCAAAACTGGATTAGCCACAAAAGTATTTCCAGCCTTAAGGATGTGTCATATAGCTCCTTGGAAAAAAACTGACTTATTAGCTAAGGTAAGCCTTCTACCTTTTCAAATACTGTCAGGTTATCATCCCGGATTTAAAATGAATGAAAGAAAGCTAGTGGAGAAGTAGTTTTGTTTGTTTATTTTTCTTTCCCCTTTAGACTCTATGGGGCTTCTCTTTCAGCAAACTTTAACTAATTTGTTCTACAGGCACCTTTTCAGATCCTCTACTGTGGAAGAGCACTTGTGAGCCATTGGTAGTGCAGGAAGAACCAACATCTGTGGGGAAGAAGGGAATCCTGCCCCTTTTGGCTTAGGATATGTAAAATAACTCAGGAGAACCTGCTGATCTTTCCTCCTTCACCAGCTTTGGCTGATCCTCTGTTCCACCTCTCCTAAATTTGTCACACGTTTGCTGCAAGTTTGCTTTTCCCACTCTTCTGTCTCACCTGCGACTAGCAGATGCAGACTAAAATTTTGGTCCTAGTCAATCCTTTCTTTGTGCTCTTAAGAAAGTCAGTAGGATCCAACAACCTTCTCCAACTAAGTCTTTAATCATGAACACCACGATTCAAAGCAAGCAGAAACTTCTCTATATAAAGATGTTGCTCAAGCATGGTTTGTTTTGTGCCATACAACATATGGAGGCATTTAACAGAAGCAGACTGGAGCAGAAGGAAGATCAATGAAGAGATAATTAATGTGCAGTGTAGGTGTGAGAAAAATGCCTTGATTTATTTCACCCAGATGGTCTATATGTATCCATTATTGGCAATGATAACCTGAAGAAGAATCGGCAGAAGATTTAAGGTACAGTAGTTTAAGGGGCTTACAGAGAAAGCTTAAGACTTTACCCAGACTTGCCGTAAGCTTCATTTTGGTTCTCTAGTTGAACATCTTAACTGCTGTCATTTGTGCACGAGGGAAGTTTGGGGGCAGATGTGCTGATAAAGAGCAAGCCCAGCTCAGGACGTGCTCAAGTGCAGTGAGCGTGGCGAGGTAGAGGAGGTGCTGGATTCTGAGCAACCCTCATTCAGGATGGAAAAGCTGTATCTTGCCCACTGAAAGCAGATGGCATGCTGTTAGCGAAATCAGTGAGGAATAATTGGGGTTTTTTTCCTTGTTTTGTTCATTGTGCTTGTGTTTACATGGGCAATGAAGAAAGAAATATCTTTTGCTCTCTAAATAAATGTTGTGATCCAAATCTACGCTTCTTGCTCCAGCCCACGTCCCCGAAAGCCACAGCGATGTCCCAACAGAGTCATCTTCTCTTTCCTGCTCCCTCCCCAGCAGGACAGGATACAGCATATTTTGGGATATCCCAGAATACCCATATTTGTGGATATTTGACAGAACTGCAGGATGCAAGTTTGTTTTCGCACACAATATTAAGTATGGAACACAATCAGCAAATAGCTTAAGGCCTTACGCTCATGTAGGCTATGACTGGGCAACATTAGAACAAGGTGGCTAATGACATTATTGCTCAGAAATGCCTGTGGGTGAATTATCTTTAGCTGGAGCTTGAAGTCTTGTTGTCCTTGTCTCTACCTGACATGTGTTGACATCCTGAAGCCCTAATCTGAAATTTGGGAATGACTGTCTAATTGGCGAGCAGGGGGAAGAACTGCCCCAAGCATTCCTGGACAGCCCATAATGGAGCAAAACATGAACTGGAGATCACAAAAAGGCCAAGCAATTTTAAAACCTGTTGGAAGAGCATATTTGGATAATGAATAAAGCTGAGAAAAATCAGCATCTCCTGAGGATCTCCTTCTGCTTGAGGATTTCTCAAGCAGAAACAGGCTAAATGATTCAAGAAAACTGTTGTCCACAAATTACCTGCTTATTAAAACGTAAAGGATCTTCCCTGTCCAGCTTTTCATGGGCAACTTACTGCATATTTATCTAGCCCAAGTGTCTGTCTTTTGCGTGACCAGAATCAGATCAATGTTAAAAAATACGTGAAGCTGTTCTCATGTTTAAATCACGTTCCTAGAAAATCTAAATGCAATCTAAAGCGAGGATGGAGACAGCAAAGCCAAAGGCAAATGTATCTTGGGACACTAACAGTTTCCAGCTTAGTACTGAGCAGTTCTTTTTGATGAGCAGTCGCAGAACTCCTGTGCTTTTGGGCCCTGACTTTCTGTGGAGCGCTCAAAATTAATGAAGTGGATCTGCTGACAAACATAAATAAAACACAGTCTGAAGAGCTTTTAGATAGGACGATACGTGGTATGAATATTTGCAAGGAATTAAAAATAATGTAAAAAAAAAATACATATTTTATTCATTCCCTGCAACTCTGACTGGTTGTCCCAAGCATAATTCTCCTTAATTATCGCAGCTTCTGAGCAGGGCAGCCTGTCAATACAGTGATGATCACCTCTACTTAGCAAGGAGGTCACAAATTCATTTGCCATTCCGGGCAAGAATTTGCAGGGCAGACATTTGCATTCATCTATTATTTCTGTTGTCTGCAAAGCCCACAAAAATCCTGCTTGCATCATCCGGTGCCACCTCTGAACTCGCACGTACTGCGACAGGCTGAGACAGAGCAGGAATTCACGAGGGATGCTGTAGACTATAGACTATATCTTAACTATAACTAACAAAGCAAATCAGAAGTTTGCTGCTTACCAAACAGCTTCCTTGTGGATTTGGGGGGTAGTCCAGGTTGTTGTTGCTTTACTTAGAAATTACATTATCACCTGGCACAAAAGATGAAATAGTTTTCATCTTGCTAATCTACCTAATTATTATCACCGTAGCAGAAGGGAAACTATCTGACAGAACAGCACTTCTCATGAAACAAACCCAGCTGTGCACGATGTTTGCTCAAAAATAAAATCCCCCCCAAATATGGCATTAGGTCCAGCTATGTTTCCATTTGTCCCCTTGTAAGTTTATTTCATCTGGCTATGTGAGACATATGTGAATGTAGACTTTGTGGGCAAGTTGGTGATGCCTACGAGCTTAGCACATTCAAAAAATGCAATAATACGTTTGGACGGTTCAGTTTTTCTAAACCTGTACCAAATTTAGGACAATCTATTGCAAGAATAGGCATTTTTTCCAACAAGGTAAAATAGATTAGAAACGTGATTTTCTTTTGTATTTTTTATTCTAAACATACAATATTTAATTTTTAAACACACCTCAATCAATCTTCCCCATATCTTTGATTCAATCATTAAAAAAAATCTATATGATAGTTTATCTGCCAGGCTTTAAGTAAAGGCGCATAAAGAAAAGCATAAAAGTTACTGCTACCTTTTGCCCTCTATATGTCCACTAGTTTCCAGAATCCTGTGATATGTATATATATTCTTCATGAACTTAAGGTACATCTTCAGTCAGGTAAATCAAAGTTGGTTTTCTTCCCAACATGCCTTCTGTACACAGAAAACTTTGAAAACCACCCACTTATGACATGCAGGTTACCAAGACTCCCATTATTTCAGCTATGAATAAAAATCCACAGCTAAATTTGGAATGTAGCATAATAGGATATTAATTCAGCTTGAAACACCCATTGCACTGGCAAGAGATCTGCAAGAGTCTGGAATAATTACAATTATTGTAAGGCTGAAAACTTTCACTGTGCAAATCCCAGCTTGCAGGGACAGAAAACTCTGTTTCATCGCTTTCTGCTAATGGAAACTTGTCCTTTGTCTAAGCCTACCTATATATGAAAATGGAAAATAAGAAGGACCTTGTGACCTAAACGACTTCATCACCATTTCAGCTGGCAATCAGCTACCGAGTGAGCCTTCCTGGATGCTGCCATCAGCATCTTGATTTTTCCTCAGTGTTTTTTCCGCAACACTCAGGTGTTATAATAATGTACTAACGTCTTCGCTGTACCACATTCTGACCTAATGAAAGCCAA